TTTGCAGCGGAACCAAAGAAGAATTCAAAACCCTACAACAGCGCTAATTAAAATCACCTAATAATAAGCGGGMATAACATATTTCGTTTGTTTTTCTTTGACCTTTCAGCAGTTAATTTGAACAACTGATTTGCGGGTCACGATGGTCTATAAAASTGATKGCGTATTAATTAGCACCATGTGGATGTCACAAGTCKCGCCACGCCTGAGTATCATCGGCAGTRTTTCACCCTAAGGCAATRATGGCCAAATGAATATGACGTCAATCGGCTTAGAGCCTTTGTAATAATAGCTGCTACCACAAATGACCTTGTTATTTCTTTTTAATGGAAATTAAAGTATAACTGTTTATATTTATTGTCATTGAGTTTTTAGAGKCTTTAACCATACACGCCGTGCGCCATCTGGGTACGGGATCGGACGGGTAAAAACTGTYGGGTTMAAAAATGGACAAGTTATTGACTAGAAAGATTTGATCATACACTGCAGCGCTGTAGTGCTGTAGATTGCTGTACAATTGACTCTGATAAAGATTGTAATAATGAATAAGAAAACGAAAAAGAAAAGACATGAGAATAAAATGAATGAGAACTAGAATGGTCATAATTGTTCACCGCTGGATCATACTGCAGGCGCTTGTTCATTGATTCGCGCGACCAAAACAAGAACAACAGCCGAACTGAGAACGAAAGAGAAGGTACAAGTTACCATTAATCAAAATCTGGCATCGGAAGGCTTATTTTATAATCGACCKACTAAAGTCAGCTTTCTGTGGTTTTCTTTGCGATCAAAACGAGCGAAGTCACGACTGAACAAACTCGCTCTGTAGCGTCGCTTGTTTGACATGGAGGTGTAAAATGACGGCTTTCTTTGTGGTCTTTGATCAATGGACTGCCATTTGAAAGAACCTGGATCAGCTATGTTTATTGGATAAGCTTTATGACCTGACACACGGATTTGTAGTGCAATTCCGAACTGTCAAACGCAATCTTGTTGAATACCAAAACAGCAACTGGCTTTCGCTCAAAGCTTTACCCTTTTGACCTAAAGAATTTACGCGAGCGACTACAAGAATTCGAGCTTCTGGCGAATTCTAGTTATGGTTGACACAAAGTTCTTAATAGTCACGACTCTGTGTTATGTGGGGATTTTTATTGTTGTTTTAGCCGTTTGTTGCTGTGCATGGGCACGATACGTGAAGAACGAAGGCCGAATACCAGCAAATCGAAGAACTAAAATGAGCCGTAGTAGAAGAGCAGCCCGCGAAACGAATATACCAACTGCACCACATTGCCATCCTCAGCCACCACCACCTAGACAATACCGCTATATCGGCGACTTTTCAGAACTAAATTACCAACATCCAACGAATTATACACATGTACAACACAACTGTAGGCCTCACGTTTCGAGACCTATCTACCCAAGCGCGAATCACTATACGCTAGTCGAGGGTTATCCACCGCGAAACTACTACCCTGCTAGCCTAGCTACACCAACAGACACTTACGATATTGATTTACAAATGGATATTAACAGTACAGGTTTTGCTGATACAAGTCATGGCGGATTTTCGGGCGACGAGTTTAGTGACTTTCAAAGTTCTCGRTACGACAGTGGACATGACGTGAGTGCTGTTATCAGTGGCGACGCAGCGGTTTTGAGCTGTAGCGACGTTGGAAATTCATTCAAAATCGCTAATAATAACTCAGTTGACACAGATGGACTTACGGACGAATTTCGGAATTCTTCAGAAGCGTTAAAAACCGATAATTTCGAGTCGAATTATCCACGAGAAATTGATATAGACGGCGCGGACAAACTAAGTTTTGAGAATGTCAGCGATTGCGTGGTGGAAAGTTTACTAGTTACAAGCTTAGAAGGATGTAACGGCGTTGGGATCACTCCAACATGCTCTGCACAGAGTTTAACCGAGTTTAATGACCAGCAACCTGAGCAAATTCCTTTGAATTCACATTAATAACAAGACAACATTCTGAGTTGATTGTTGTATTTGAACTGTTTGACCTTCGTCGCAGTTTTCACTAAGCGCGAACAATGTTCGGATAAAACTTGCAAAGCCATCTTCTATACAGTTATTGTTTATCAATAGTGGCGTGTTTTGAAGCCAGTTTTTGTGTGGATATATTGTCGCTAATCGCCTATAATTCCAAAAGCCTACAAAACAATGAATGATCAAAGCTATACCCAGCACACACGGTTAATTGGAATGTTTACATTCGCTTGTGTGTTTAGATAGTCGAAAGAATTATGTTACGAATGAATCACCTTAAAGCACACACAAAAAGCAAATTTATCCTAACACCGAAAASCTCAAACATTTCCCTCAATTTCCCTAGATTAGAACAAAAGGATCGAAGGCCTKYTAAGTGGTAGGGATTAGAAAATTGAGTCGTCGTCATGCGGCTTTGAACGAGACACTTTCATAAACGGCTCAATGGAAGGTTCACTTTGGGTGGCCCTCGCATATGGACGGTCATAAATGATCACTTTTTACTGCGCATCAGGGAACCTTGAGGAACTTTGCTTGATTTCATTCGGGAAAGCTTTTGTCTAGCTATTTCTATGGGGTCTTTATCCTTTGAATGGATGATAGCAATAATTTACATACTGATGAAATCTGAATGCAGCCGATGACAAAAGACTGATGAATATTCATAAGCATTAAAGAGAGGTTGGATTGTTTTGTTTCKTTGGTTGGAATTGACCTAGCAGGTGGCTTCAGAAAACATATACGAAAATCTATGTTGTGGCTAAAAGAAATATTGGATTGGATTTAATTTTTAATGGAAGATCAGTTTWTTGCCACGTATGGTCACAAAAATTCATCTGCCTTTGTTGGTCTGTTATACTYGGAACTCCTAGAGTGCATAAGACCAAAGCTTTTTTGCCTTTAGCRTTATTCGTATAAACACCATGGAAAATATRAATGGCTTCAGTCAAATCCAACCTGGGAGACCTTGCAATGTCAATTTAATTTTGAATAGTAGACATTGTTATGGAATACAATACAATTCTCTTAAGGCAAGGCCACCACAGAGACAATTTGCTAGTTTTTTTGTTCAAGGGCTTTTGAAAAWTGAAAAGAAGTATTCTTTCGATTCGTAGATTAGCTGTATATTTCTAGATTGGCTAAATGACATATTGTCAAAATAAAGATATTTAAGAATATGTAATTATTCTACAAACATTTCAAATGCCAGTTTTATCTTGTGGCYAGGTCATTTTATTTCTAGGAAACTAAACCTTTATCATCTAATGTTTACATTTACTTTGAAAATATATAACATAATTTTCCTTTTATCATGGATATTATCTTTTTTAATCTGTAAAATGTTATCATGTAAGTCCCACGATAAATTATTATTGTAAGATGTTTTAGAATATAATATACCTTAACACTGTTAATCAAAAAGGCAAAAAGAAAAGCATTAATAAATCTATATTACAAGTAAAAATAAAGTGAAATATTTTGACTTGATKGATTGGTTCTGTGTTATCTTCAAATGTTGGTATTCAATATTTTTGTTTGCTTTGACAGGCACCCTGCCATTATGAACAGGAAATAATCAATCTTTTGCCAACTAAAAACACAAAGGAACTTCTTGTCTTCTTCCATTAATGGKTTCTTCCTAGAGTGAGTTTAAACCTGACTCTTGTTAAATATTAAAATTTACAGCTGTGCTACTTATTCAGTTTGCAGACCCGGTAGAAATTTCACAAAAATTTGTACTACGTTGTTCAATTTTCAAAGCAAACTACATGTACTTTCACAAGAATAGTGTGAGTTCACTTGTAATTTCATTCAGTATATCTGTGAAATAGAAATTTCACAAAATTGCAGTAATTCTAGCAAAGGCAGGATTTCACACTAATTTGCGTGAATGCCCGCCAGTTTGCTTAGTCATTTCATATCAATTTTGTTACACACAAAGTGCGTCCACTTATGAAAAACAGTATAAGCACTGAAACTATGAAAAAAGCTATGTAATTAAGATTATGTAGCCTGCATGCTGCCAAAGTTGTGGTTCAGCTACATGTACCAAGCTAGATTTATATTGATTCCCTTGTTTTCTGTTGTGTAAGCAACGACACTATTTAGCTACTATTTAGCAGTTAATTTTAGCGGTCTGTTAATATAGTCAACTTTCCCTATCACAGACACCGTCAGGATCTGTAGCAAGAGTGCAATAACGGGAGTCACTTCAAGTCATTTCTTTGTTATTGTATTCATTTTGCCGGAGATTCAGGATTTCAATCCTGTCCGTAATATTGAGTTGTCCGTAACAGCAGGGTGTTCGAGAGCTGTCTGTATGTACATATATCATTTATTTTTATTAAAAAAGAGACAAAACTAGAAATTTTCAGACTTATAGTTAGACTGTAATGCATGAAGATTCAAACAGGCTGGCAACATGTACAGCCTCTATTTCCCTAAACCTAACCAATAAGCCATGAGATCAGATTCAACCTGATTTTTGCCCGGGGGGGCACTCCTCCCAAACTTTGGTGGGGGTGTGCCACTTGGACATCAAAACCCTGATCCTGTTCCAGAGTGAAACTGCTGAAAACTATACACTGTTCCAGAGCAAAATTGCTGAAAACAACATCCTGTTATCCTGTTCCATAGAAAATCCAGGACTAGCCTGCGTGTAGACCGAATTTTTACCCCGTGAATTTTTACCCAGCATCAATAATTCCAAAATCAAACCCTGACCCTGTTCCAAAGAAAATTCGTTGAAATCTATACCCTGTTCCAGAGTAAAATCGCTAAAAACGATACCCAGTTCCAGAGTAAAATCGCTCAAAACGATACCCTGGTTGGCGGCACGTCCCCATATAGCAAATATAGGGGAGTACCCCTTTGGAGCATTTAAAACAGCATTCATAAATAACCACATGTATGTGCATAGACTGAATACATTATAATTAATA